TTTCCTTTATATTAGCGCTGTTTTGGACGGATTGTTTGAATGCATTCGCTTACTGGATCATTGGACTGAAAACTTTCCCGGAGTTTAGCGGCTTAAAATGATCTAATCGCAAGCAGAGAAGCAAAATTGGGTTAAAGAGTTAGAATAGAAATTGTGCTTCAGTAATTCTGCGTTAATTGCGTTAAATTATTTTTTACGCGTTAAGGATTGTAAAATTAACGCGTTAACGTTGACAGCCCTAATTTCTATATTCAAGCATATTAACATTCCAAATGTAATGTATGAATGCCACTAAATTAAAAAAAACATTTTAATATTTTTATTTCAATTTAAAAATATCAAAAACAAGCATTGTTTACCTTAAAAAATATAATTAGGTTTATAATTATAATGCAGTAAATATACTATTACTATTATGTTGATAGGTAATGTGATTCTCTATTCGGGCATATGTGTGAACCAGAGGAGAACTGACTTCATACATCCACTAAAAATTGATTGAAAAGCTGATTAAAGTTCTGATAAAAGCTCTCGAGTCAATCGTTTGAAGACACCATTTGGTATCTAATGCAATGACATTCATGTATTTAAGTATCCAAACTAATAATAACATGTAACAGAAATAGAATAAATAAGAAGAGTTCAGAAAAACTGAAGCAAGGAGCATTGCTGGATGCTACCATTGTCTTAAAATGCTGACCTTTTTCAGAGCCGTCTCATCCTGAATCCTCTCACAAACAGCTGCAACATCCGCACTTCCTGCTGCCAGAACCTTGTTTGCTGTCAGTTTCCCCAAATGCTTCAATAAAACAGCCATGGGCATCTCTTTCAGCAATGCTTTCCATACCTAAAAAAGGACCAATAAGTAAACTGTCATCACATTAAGACAAAAATCAAGAAATGCTTTCGGCCTGTTTCATTCAGACCTCTTTGGACTTGAGGTGGTTGGTCAGGATCTGCTCTTTCTCCAGCCTCTGCTCCTCAATGAGATGAATGAGCTCCTGTTCATCAGTGCAGCGCTTGGCTTTCTCCACAGCCTCCAGATACGCAAAAACCTTCTGCACATCCTCGGAGGTCTCTTTATCACCATACGCTTCCTGAACCCCTTTCCAGCCTTGCGTGATGTATTTGCAAACAACTGCAACAGCTGTAAAGAACAAGAACACATGCTCAGCTTTCATCATGTGACTTCTGACACAACCTCTGCGAGGTTTCCTATAAAGCATTTAGTTCTGAATACAGATGAACTGTTTTGACTGCTGATGTGAAAATAAAAGCTGATCAAGGCTGTACTTTAAACTGATTACAGTTTTTTTGCATAATACTAACAAATAATATTCTTTGGCAAGATCATTTTAATAATAAATATTCATAAGAGAGCTCAGAAGTAATTCAAATGTTTTAATGCAATTACATGGTATGCTGAAAAATACTGCATTGCAATTTTAGAATTTATATCCACTTATAAATATAATAATAATATTAACAATTATTATTATTAATATACACTTCTTTCTCATTATTTTGATAATTCCATTATTTATATTATATTGATAATATATTTATTGTGGCATATCGAAATGATTAATTGTTACAAAAAGTGTCATTAGAAATTAACAATATTACTTGGCAAGATAATTTTGATGATTAATATCAATAAGAGGGCTTGTAATCTGATTACATGATATGCAGGAAATTACCCAAAGCATTTTTATCTTTTTTTTATTCATAATTTTAAAATAATGAATAATGATGAGCACTAAAGAACAATTTTGATAATAAATATTAACAAGAGGGCTCAGAATTTATTGCAATTTTTTCTAATTACATGATATGCTGAAAATTAATGCATTGCATTTACATTAAAAATGCTCATTTTAGAAAAAAAAATGTCAGACGGCAACATAAAGGCATTTGCATCTGAACTCTTCACACATATATATATATATATATAATATTTTTATAGTATTTTTTATTTTTTGATAATTCTACTATTTACATATTTATTCCATTTGTGTTATGGCATTCAAACTCATTAAATAGTCATTACAAAAGTGCCTTTAGATGTCAATATACGGGTTATTTCAATGATAAACATAAGCCTATAGCAGGTTACCATCCACAGCAAACACTCACTGTCATTGGCCGGCTTCATGTGGGACAGCCTGAGGAGGTCCTGGTGGGACCAGCCCACTCTGTGCTTGCACTTGGTCACGGTTTGCGCCAGGCTCATCCCGTCCTGGCTGTTGTACCAGTCCGTCACGGCCCTCCGCAGAGCCCGGCCCCACATCCCAGAGCCCTGTCTCAGCTCTTTCTTATACTGCACAAATGTGAAGAGCTGCGCGGGCGTCCGACACAGGTCTTTCAGCGCCCGTAAGGCGGCCTGCCTGGTCCTGCAGTCGGCGTGCTGCGAGCAGACAGCCAGGGCGAAGAGGCTGGGGTTGGCACGGACAGCGCGGCCCTCCAGATTGGAGCGTCTGATCTCCTCCACCACCTCACAGCCCCGTCCCCCCTCGATGAGCTGCATCAGGGCCAGGGCGCTCTCTATGCCCAGAGCACACTCTCTGGTGCTGTAGGTGGCTCCTTCAGTCCTACAGACAGACCACAGCGGGCAACATTACACTCTGAGCACAGGACATCAACACTGTCAGTAGACATGCATGCATTTTGTTTCGTGCTGTAAGACTGTAAAAATAAATAACCATTAAAAACATCATATATACACACACACACGCATAAGCAAATATTAATATAGGATAATATATACATTATTAAAAATATGAATATACATATATAAAATATAAACGTAGATCTTTAAACATTTACTTAGATATCTATAGTTTATTTATATACACACACGACATAAATATTAAATATAATTTAAATATGTATATTTATATACAGTACTATATGATATATAATAAACAATTAAGTATAAAAAAATAAATAAATATTTACTGTTATTTTATGTATATGTGTGTATAACAAATTAAATAAATTATA